CAGGGAGCTGGATGGGAAGCGGAGCAGCCGGAACTCCAACCAGTACCCAAATGGGATGCTGCCTTTGTAGGAGGAAGTTTTACCCACTATGCCATAGCTCCAAGCCCTAAACTTCTTTCTCTATCAAGGTAGCCTGCCTCAAATCTTTTATGGTGGTAAAGAAAATAAACACACACGGTGGTGTTCACGTAGCCAAAAAATAGACAGTGCCAAGGAGGAGAGTGCAGAGAAGGGGAGAACCCGGAATGGAATACAAAGCCTAATGAAGGAACCTGCCTCTGTTACACATGATGAAGATGGTCACAGTGGGGGAGTCAGGAAAGAAAGAGTAAGCTTGGAACACAGTGTCTTGACTGGATCCTGCAAGGCCCAAAGCAAGAAGGACTGTGCATGTGTCATGGGGCAGAGCCCATGTGACGCATCGCTCACAGGACAGTGGGTGAGCAATTCTGAAAAGCTTCGTATGTATCCTGGAATTGAAGGTGTAAGCTTCTTGGAAAAGTAAAGCAATTACATCTAAGTTTTTTTTTTTTTCCCAAAAACATATTCCCATGAAATTTTTGAAGACCCCACCTGGTGTATACAATTTTAAACTCTTTGCACCTACGTTATCTTCTAATCTTATTTTCTATTTTGAAATACCTGCATACATTTCCCATCTTGGCCTGCTGAGGGTTACAGATGCAACCGCAGGAGCAGGGAGCACATCTGGTGCCCAGCCCTGGTGTCTAAACTCTGTCCTTCAAGGCCAGGAAGTGGGGCTTGGGGCTGGGGCTGCCCCCTGTGGTCACTGATTGGAGCCCAGCTGTTCCAGTTACGGTTCAGCTCCCTGCTAATGCACCTGGGAGAGCAGTGGAGGATGGCCCATGTCCTTGAACCCTGCACCCACGGGGGGAGAACTAGAAGAAGCTCCAGGAACCTAGCTTCTGGTGACCCAGCCCCAGCTGTTGTGTCCATTTGGGGAGTGAACTAGAAGATGGAATATCTCTTCCTCTCTCTCTCTCTCTCTCTCTAATTCTACCTTTCAAATAAATAAATGAGTCTTGAATAAAGAACAAAAAATGAGCCAGAACTCCTAGAGGAAGTGATTGCTTGTAGTTCTGGAGTGAGGGAAATATAGAAAGATCCTGGAATGCTTTAGAGTACCATCCAGTTAGGAAACTTTACAGTAAACAGATAATACGCATTTTTATTTTTGAAGATTATTTATTTTTATTGGATAGGCAGTTGTACACCCATATACACACACATACAATCTTCCATCTGTTGGATCATTCCCCAAATGACCACAACAGCTAGAGCTGGGCCAATCTGAAATCAGGAGCCAGAAGCTTCTTTTTGGTCTCCCATGTGAATGTGGGGTCCCAAGGCTGTGGGCCACCCTCCTCTGCTTTCCAAGGCCATAAGCAGGGAGCTGGATTGGAACTGGAGCAGTTAGGACTCAAACTGGTGGCCATATGGGATGTTGGCACTGCAGGCAGAGGCTCAGCTCTGTAAGCTGCTGCTCCAGGCCCATGGCCAGATGATTTTCCATAAGCAAGTTGAGACTATTCAACAGAGAAAGGACAGCCTTCAACAAGTGGCACTGCGAAAACTAGAGATCTGGGCACGGAGGGGTAAAGTTAGATCCTTACCTACATCCCACCAAGGAACTCAGATGCTTCAAAGCCTGCATACATCAAAGCCAGAGCTATGAAACGCTTAGTGAGAGGCAGCCAGTGAGGAATGTCTTTTGGCTTAGAGCTAGAGGAATGAGAGAGATTGAGAGAGAGAGAGAGAGAAAGTTGTTGGTGCTTGAGGCCCCCTCCTTGCTAGGCCTGGGTGGGCAATGGCCTATTTCTCTGCCCATGGTGGTGACATCTGTCTGATGCCCCTGGCCTACAGGCACCCCCTTAGTCCCTTTCCTCTGCCCCACTTCTGTGAACTGGCTTTTGAGGGGGTCACAGTACCCTTTGATTCCCACCAGGAGGGGGCTGATCCACCACACTCCAGCAGGCCAAGACCCTAGGAGTGTGGACGTGGCTCCCTGTGGCCTGAAGTGTGATCAGTGTGACAGGAATGGAGGGCACAGTGAATTGCATGGGGCAGTGGGAGGAAAGCACGGGCAGCAGAGACGAATCCCGCCCCCGGCCTGGGGACCGCTGTGGTCCAAACGACAGGCGAGACCGTCACCCTGCCAGACAACCAACAACCCCTGAGCACGCAGCCATCTAAAACATTTTTTTTTTTTTTTTTTTTTTTTTTTTAGAATTGATAATTACTAAGTCGGCCAACTACTCTCTGAAAAATTGGCTGTCTTTGATTTGATGAATCAGCCAGTTGGTCTTTGGCCAAACTGGGTGTAGCTGGGCAAATGGCACCTGGAGGATTAGTCTGTTCCTGCCTAAGCCAGCTTCTCCCCGCCCAAAAGGGGAAGGACTTGATCTGTCTCGGGACATGCTGGCGTGGGTGACCATGTTCAAACGCCACAACACAGGGTATGGCAGGGGGTGCGGGAGGGTTCCCGTGCAAGCCAGGCTTCTCCCGAGATAGGGTTGGGGAGGGGAGGGTTGTACATGCCACCACCCATGCTTAGGAGTCAGACTTCAGAGGGGATGCTGGGGCACACAGGCCAGGACTTGGGGGTGAGAGGGGAGGGAGCTGGGGCTCAGCTAGAGATGGGTGGGCTTAAGAGCGAGCGGAACTGGCCTGGGTCAGGAACTCCAGGGTCTAGGGCCTAAGTCTGGTTCTGACAGTCTGGCCTGGGCAGGCCTTGTGCCTTCTGGCCCACATTGGGCAAGGAAGGTGTGTCTCAGCTTTGGCCATGAAAGCCAGGATCGCAGTGTGTCACCATTTAGAGTCAGAGTGTGAGGGACAGGGACAGGCAGGGGCCTGTGGTCAGAGGGTAGAGACCTGACCAGGAAAGGGCAGGATGGTTGCTCCCAGAGGCTCCTGGCTGGGCACTAGGGCCAGCCAGCATCCTGGTCAGGGCCTCTGGTTACAGGTGAAAGAGAAGGGGCCGGGGCAGGGGGTGCGGTGCGGTGCGGTGGGATCTGGAAGTCATTGGGGGGCCCTGGCTCCGGTGGGTGGGGCTCACTCATCTCCGAGTGACAGGTTCAGGGCGTGTCCCCAATGAGTCCCAAGGCTCTGTTCTGGCCCTCCCATCCCTGCAGCTCTGGCCTGATGCTCCTGGGTGGAACAGCTGGGATCTGACCATCACGAGGTCAGGAAGTCATTTGTGCTTGCTTGGGCTTCAGTGTACCACCCATACCATTCTACCAGTTCCTCCGGGCCTGTAGGCTGCTGCAGATCCCCGTGTTCACAGCACATGTGAGGGCAGGGCCAGTGTGTTCCTTTTTGTTTTCTTTTGTAAAGGTTTATTGATTTATTTGAAAGGCAGGTAGAAAGGGCTTTCATCCACTGGTTCACTCCCTGAATGGCTACAAAGGATGGAGCTGAGCAGATCTGAAGCCAGGAGTCTGGAGCTTCTTTCTGGGTCTCCCACCAGGTGCAGGATCCCCAAGGACTTAAGCCATCCTCCGTATCTTTCCCATGTCATAAGCAGAAAGTTGGATCAGAAGAGGAGTAGCCAGCACTCAGACTGGTACTGATGCTGGTATACCAGTGCTGTGGACAGTAGCCTCACCTGCTATCGCACAGCGCCAGCTCTGGGGGGCTATTTTACTTGAACAGGGTTGCTCTACACTGAGCCCCACTCTGCATCTGCCTGAGGGAGGTGGCAGTGGCAGATGTGGGCTATGGCCTCGTGACCTCATGACCTACAGTACCCACTGTTCACCCCAGCTAGAGCCTTGGGGCCTCCCTCGGCTTTGTCGGGCTTAGGCTGGGAGGGCCGTGATCTGGCAAACACTACTGAGGCCCCACCACGCCCAGGAGGTCAGTTCAGAGGGCCTACATGGAGAAGGCAGCCTGCTCCAGGCCTGGACCACAGGCCACAGCCCACTGGCCTCCAGGTGGCCTGATGGACCCCTTGCTGGTCGGTCAGGGCTCCCTGTCAACTACCACCTCCTTAGTGCATCCAGGAAGAAGGACTGGCATAGGTGCTTCCCAGAACCTTGGTCCCACTGGTGCTGGGTGACAAAGCAGGAAAGCATGGTTGCTCCATTTCAAAGATGAGGAAACTGAGGCTCAGGTTGGGTTAGTGACTAAGGGAGGCAGCATGTAGCATGTGGCTTGAGGCATTTCTATACCTCCTGAGTAGCCAGGGAAGCCACCTGGCTGCTCAGCGGGTGATGTATCAGGAGCCAGCATAGCTGCCTTCTGGGATATATTCTGGCTCAGGTCACAGACTGTCCCCGGAACCGCCCCCACTCCCGAGGGTGCTGATGTGTCCTTCTGAGGGACCTCCATGGGCAGGAACACCACCCAGCTCATGGGGCCTCTGCAGCCTGTGCTGGGTCCCTTGGGAGCTCCAAGAATGAGGGGTCAGCTGATGGGCCAGCCAAAGTGATCGTGCCCTGGGCACAGCACTACCTCTAGCCTCCTACCTGCCCAGTGGAGGCTGCCAGCATCCTAGCAGAGCCAGGTGGGGCGACAGTCCCACTCCATTCGTGTTCCTGACCTGAGTGACTATGTGGTACTAGACCCTTGATGACGCCTCCTTGTGAGCCTGAGTCACAGAGTAAAAGCCCAGGCCTGGTCCCACCAGGTCCCTGCCAGTGCCAAGCCTGGGGATCTTGAACCCCAGGGTGAGACCTGGCCAATGTCTTCAAGGGCTGCCTCCCCCTCCTCCCCCTGAACACTCAGGTCCCCTGCCTTGTGCTTTCCCGTTCCTGCCCATCTTGCCAGGATACCTAGGAAGCCAGGTGCCAGGTGCTCATGCTGCCAGAGGGGCAGTGCCAGCACCATGGTGCAGGAGCAGCCCCACCCAGGCTCTTCCCCCTGCTGCCGCCTGCACTGACTCATCTGCCCAGCCTACCCTGCAGCCAGCCAAGCATCAGAGACATCTATAAAAGCCCGCCGCTCCAGTCCCCAGCACTCTGCCTGTTGACTACCTGCTACTGCACACGATGCTGGGAGGCCTGGGCAAGCTGGCGGCCGAGGGCCTGGCCCACCGCACTGAGAAGGCCACTGAGGGGGCTGGTAAGGGGTCTGGCTCTCCTTTGCACTCAGGCCGGGGGCGGGGGGCAGGATGGCCGACTCGCCTGGACCTGTCCAAGACAGCAAGACAGCGGAAGGCCCATCACCCTGTCAGGAGCTCTTGGGCTGGGAGGGAACTGAGGGGTGCAGAGAGAAGGGAGAGCAGCCCAGGGCGGGGTTGTGAGAGCCCCACCGCTGACCACAGCAGGTGTCGCTCCTCGGTTCTGTGACCCAGGCTCAGCCTGCTTTTGGTACCTGTGCCTGAGGACCAGGAGGCCAGGGCGAGTCCAGAGGACACTCCTGGGGACACAGGGACAGGCAGACACCCGGTGGGCAGCTGACCTCTTTGATCTTTCCCTCTGGGAATCGGGCATGGGGGAGCTCTCCTTCCAAACAGCCTGTGTAGGGGAACAAAAGGTGATCCTTGACTTTGGCTGTGAACTTCCTCAGGAAATCACCAAATCCAGGCCTGTCCGGGTGGGATGTGCATATGGCCGGGAAGACACAGGGGCTGGCCTTGGCAGTCCTGCCCTGAAGGTCCGGCCTACCCATGGGAGCCCCTTCCTGCATCTCTCCCCAGCGTCTTGCTTTGGCACGATTCCCAAGCAAGCACTGCAGGAGAGGGTAGAGAGGAAGTCAGAACACAGGAGATTCCTCCAAAGTGGGCATGGCACCCCGTCTTGCCTTGGGGGACTCGGTTGTGCTGGAGGAGGTAGGGGAACTGGCCCGAGACAGCCACCTTGGATTATCCCAGAGGCGTGAGGCACTGTGACCTGGCAGACTGCCTTCCCAGCTGGCAGGAGGCTGATTCCTGGGCAGCCCAGGCTGTACCTCACGGCGGGGCACGGAGGCCTCTACGGCTTTCCCCAGCTCTCAGCCTGCATGTCCCAGCAGCCAGCCCCTGCCCTCGAGTCTTTGAAAGCCCCTAGCTGTAGGAAACCGATGAGGATGGTGGAGAACTGGGGGTTGGGCTCTTCTTGTCAGCCCCAGCTGGGGCTGCGGGGCAGCAAGCTTGCACCGCACCCTCACGCTGCACCTGTCTCCTGCTTTCAGCTCATGCCGTGGAAGAAGTGGTGAAGGAAGTGGTGGAACATGCCAAGGAGGCTGGAGAGAAAGGTGACTGAGGCCTGGGGAGGAGGCGGTGCAGAGGGAGGCAGAGGGAGGCGGGGAGGGCAGGGGAGCCCAGGAGGAAGCTGGGAGCCTGGGGCCAAGCCCTTCCTGGCCCAACTAGATCAAGCCCTGCCCCCATGTCCTGTCGCATCCAGTGACTCTGTGATGCTTGCGCTCCTCCTGGGTGCTGGCCATGGGACTCCTGTCTAGACCATCATCTCTGTAGAAGCAAGGTCATGGGTACAAGATCACTAAGGTGTGTGAGGTGCTACACTGGCGTGGAAGGTTTAGGATACAGAAACATGTAGGGATGTACGTGTGCATGTGTGCCGTGAGCAGAACCTATGAACTACTTCAATGGCTTCTAACAAAATAGGAGAGCACGACTTCCGGTTCATGGAAAGATGGACTCAATAGAGATTATTCTGGTGCGAAAAAATTGGAAATTCAGGCATTTAAAATATTTACATTTATTTGAAGAACAAATTTTGCAGAGAGAATGAAAGAAAGATCTTCCATCTGCTGGCTTATTCCCCAGATGGCTGTAGAAGCTTCTGGGTGTCCCATGTGGATGTAGGGGCCCAGGGCCTTGGACCACCCTCTGCTGTTTTTCCAGTCTGTAAGCAGGGAGCTGGATCAGAAACGGAGTAGTCAGGACTAGAACTGGCACCCATATGGGATGCTAGTGCCGCAGCTGGAGGATTAGCTTGCTCTACCACTGCACTGGCCCTGGGTTGTTTTGTTTTTATTTTCTTTATTTTGTTTTTTTGTTTGTTTGCTTGTAATTCACATTTGGATGAACTGTTTGGAGATCACTCTTAGACTCCAGAGGAATCAGGGAATTTGACTGTAAACACATGCATTTGTTGAATTATTAGTAGCTGAGACTGCTGTATTAAACTGCTGTAAACTGAGAAGCCACAGGCAGGCTCTGCCAGGTGCTGAGGGCCACACCACGTATCTGCTGACGATCACTGCCGTGGGGCCCTCTGCCTGTGTCCTCCCACGGTGGGAGAAGCAAGGGGGCCTCCTATAAGGGCTCTGAGCCATTTGTGGGTGCTATCCACCTGCGTAACCCAACAGCTTCCCACATGCCTCGCCTCTTAGCAAAACCAGCTCGCTGGAGGTGAGGGTTTCGACATAGGGATTTAGCGGTGAAATAAACATTCACCCCTTGATGATAACGCAGTTGACTCGGGCATTATCTTGGGGAGACAAGAAGAGCTTTTCAGTGACAACAAAAGATACATCAGGCATTACGGACATGTTCGGTACATTTACCAATATGCAATTTCAAAATTTCTCATAGTAAAAGAAAATGAATGCATTAGACTCAGAAAAATCACATGCTAATGGAAAATATTTGTAATATGAAAGATAATCCAAAAAACTCCATGGAACTAATACAACTTTAGGAAGATGCTCTGGTTGACTTGTAACTGGGAACTGCAAGGTGTTGAGGGAGAAAGCTGGGTAGCAATGTGTTCTTCCCAGACCCTCCATCTCATGAGCCGGGAAGGCCACCATGGGCAACTCAAGCCCCGGCCACTCTCCCAGCCAGTGAGTGGTTCACTGACACTTTCCCCTTTCCTTTCCCGCAGCCCTTAGTGAAGCCCTGAAGAAAGCCCAAGAGTCAGGGGACAAGGTGGTGAAGGAAGTCACCGAGAAAGTGACGAACACAGTTACTGATGCTGTCACCCACGCGGCAGAAGGCCTGGGCAAACTGGGCAACCAGTGAGCATGCCCACACCATGCCGCCCCTCCCTGAATCTCAATAAAGAACCATGAAATGCACACGCGCCAGGGCCTCGATTTATTTCTGTTTGGTTGGAGACGCAGGCGAAGTGCTTTTCCTTAGGAACACCGTATTCCCGCAGTGTCTCATGTGCTTGGTTGGCACACGGGCACGGTGGGCACCTGCTGCAGGCTGGCAGGTCTCCCCAAATGAGTCAGGTCCTTCTCTCCCACACCAAGACACCTTAGCTATGCAATGAGCTCCTAAAGACTTGGTAATAATATCTGTTTTAATTTTTTTAAGAGTTATTCACTTATTTGAATACAAACTTACAGAAATAGTTTCATTTGCTGGTTCACCCCTAAATTTAAAAAAAGTATTTAAAAATAAGATTTATAGAGAAAAGGAGAGCAAAAATCTTCCTTCTGTTCATTCCCCAAATGGTTGCAACTGTCAAAGCTGAGTCAATCTGAAGCTAGGAGCCCAGAGCCTGCACAGGGGTGCAGGATCCCAAGACTTTGGGTGATCTTCGACTACTTTCCCAGGCCACGAGCAGGGAGCTGGATGGGAAGTGGAGCAGCCTGGATTCCAATTGACACCCATATGGGATCCCGATGCATGAAAGGCGAGGACTTTAGCCACGAGGCTACTGTGCCAGGCCCATATATAAATCTTAAGACAAAAGCAAGAACAAAACCAAAATCCACAGCAGGGTGGATTTCTACTGTGCGATGAGGCTCTAAACTTGAAAAATGAGCTTTCTGCACAGAGGGCCACCAGTGGGGGAGGAGTGGCTGGAAACTGCACATAGATGAGACGAATGCCCAGTGGTCGTTAACGATGTGAACAATATGGGAACACTCCCAAACAAAGCAGCTGCTGGACATCAACACAGACTAAGTGAATCTTAATAAAACACAATTGCACAAGAACAGGAAAAGCCTAGCAGCCTCCGTGCGGAACACAAGATCACGGTGGTCTCTGTCTGAAAATCTGGGACACCTTCACCCTCTACACATGTCTGTGGTATTTGAAGTTAAGGGGCAAGCTAAAAACAGAAGATTTTTGTTTGTAGAAGAGATTTATTTGAAGAAATATTACAATATATACTACATGAAGTCTTTTTTCTTTCTTTTAGATTTATTTATTCTTATTGAAAGTCAGAGATACAGAGAGGAGGAGAGACAGAGAGGAAGATCTTCCCTCTGATGATTCACTCCCCGTGTGGCTGCAACAGCCAAAGCTGAGCCTTGATCAGAAGCCAGGAGTTTCTTCCAGGTATCCCATGAAGGTGCAGGGTCCAAGGCTTTACGTGGTCCTCGACTGCTTTTCCAGGCCACAAGCACGAAGCTTGATGGGAAGTAGGGCTGCTGGGATTCAAACTGGCGCCTATATGGGATCCCGGGGCCTGTGCAAGACGAGGACATTAGCCACTAGGCCGCTGTGCTGGACCCTACATGAATTCTTCATTCCCACCAATATGATAGCAATTTGAAACAAAGCTTTGAAAGCACAAGGGGCCACCACAAAGCCATGAGCCAATAAGCAGGCCTCACCGAAGCCCTGTGTGGGGCAGGTGGTTGGACTAGTGCAAGGTGGCCTTCTCCTCTATTTTTTGGCTGAGGCACGCTGCCGCTCTTCTTGGCTATGGCTCTGAATGGAGTGGCTGCACAGCTAGGGCTGCAGGAGAGGCGGTGGTAACTGCCACCTTTCCATTACCCACCTGCCAGTGCTGGTCCAGGATCTTGGCAAGCAGCCACGAGGTAGCAGGAAGACTGGGGAGCAGGTGAACTTACGCATGTTAACCACAGGTGCCAGAGCACACTTCCTGGCTTGCCCAGGGAGTCCGGATTGCTGAAACAGCCATCCCACTCCAGGTGTCCGCAGAGGCTGGCCCAGCGGTGCTGCCTCTTCCCGGTGTGGGGGCAGGTACCAGGGGAGTGTGTTAAACTGTTGAGGCTTGGGCTTGCAGGCTTCCACGCAGGAGCAGACTCCACGATGGTTGTGGTAATGGTGGGTGGAGCGCAGCTTCTTGGCCAGGGTGCCTGTGCCAGCCGCCCCTGGATGTTAGGCAGGTAGTGCCAGTCAGTATCAGGGACCAGGAAGACGTGCCACAGTGGGGTGGCAACCAGGGCACTCCTATTCTTACAGATGCGGTCCTGAGAATGGGCTGGTACTGTGTGTTCCCGAGCTGTCGCTGGAACCAGGACTGTGGCTCCCCTTCGTAGGAGACCTGGGGTGGCGGGGCGCTGCTGGGGATCTCGGGGGATGGATAATGGTGTCCTGCACTGGAATGGTTGGGACAGCCCCAGCTCAACCTGGTGATGTTGCTGAGGCAGTGGGCAGAGTGAGCTTCATGGAGCTCTTGAAAAACGCAAAGTTCTGGACGTTTTCCAGCAGTAAGTACCGAGGCCGGTAGTAGTCACAGTAGCTGAAGAAGGTGATTGGTACTATCGTGGTTAAAGTCCTCACCTTGCACATGCCAGGCTCCCATATAGGCGCCGGTTCGAGTCCCAGCAGCTCCACTTTCCATCCAGCTCCCTGCTTGTAGCCTGGGAAAGCAGTCGAGGACAGCCCAAAGCCTTGGGACCCTGCACCTGCATGGGATACCTGGAAGAAGCTCCTGGCTCCTGGCTTCTGATTGGCTCAGCAGTGGCTATCGTGGCCCCTTGGGGAGTGAATCAGCAGATGGAAGATCTTCCTCTCTGTCTTGCCTCCTCTCTGTATGTCTGACTTTTCAACAAAAATAAATAAATCTTTAAGAAATAATCTTTAAAATAATTTCTCGGGTGAGGGGTGCTGGAGTTGTGGAGCTTCTGGCTACATGGTCCCTAAGACACTGGGTTCCCATAAAGGAGGAATGGTTCGAGTCCCAGCTGCTTTGCTTCTGATCCAGCGCCCTATTAATATACCAAGGAAGGCAGCAGAGGCTGGCCAACTGCTTGGGCTCCTGCACCTGCATGGGAGACCCAGAAGAAACTCCGGGTTCCTGGCTTTGAATAGGTTCAGCTTCAACTCTAGTAGGCATTTTGGGGAATGAACTAATAGGTGGAGGATCTTCCCCCTCTCTGCCTCTCCTTCACACTGCAACTCTGCCTTTCAAATCAATATAAAATAAATAATACTTAAAAAAAGAAATGAAAACCAATGTGATCTGGAGGCCAGCACCAGCTTACTCAAACTTATGCCTCAGCAAGTGCTACTAAGAGAGCGCTGGCTCACTGACCTTGTCACCACTTGTGTGACAAGATAAGCACAGAAAATGAGAGTGCCTGGAACCTCTTAAGAACTCTTGACATTTCCCAGATGTCCCGGAGGCCATCGATGGCTGGTTCTTGCTGAAGGAGCTGCAGGCCGGTGCAGGTTGTTGAACTGGTGCAGCAGGTTGCATGTGTGCTAATCACAGCAGTAGGAACATGTGGTGTGATGCAGCCAATGAGCGTGTGAGGAAATTGCTGCTTCCCCACAGAGGGCTGGATCAGCAACGCTCGCATGCCCCTAACTTTACATCTCATCAGGCATGTCACTCGGTCTTTTTATTTTTGAGAGGAGGAAGGGTGGAATAAGTAGATACATGTATTTGTAGATTACAGAGATATAAAGATAGATTGAAGACAGACACGCAGGGAGAGAGTTTCCATCTAGAGCTTCACTTCCCAGTGCTTGAGATGACTTGGTTAACCCAGGGCTAGAGCCAGGAGCCAAGAGTTCAGTCCAAGCCTCCCATCTGTGTGGCAGGAATCCAATTCCACCACTCATCACCACTGCCTCCCAGGATCTGCATTAGCAAGAAGCAGCATTAAGGAGTCAGAACTGGGAGTTGAACGCGGGCACTCCAGAACAAGGACCTAGGCATCTCAACCTTTCAGCTGAATATCCATATGCTTCCTCTCATCTTTTCATTTTTTTCCCATGTGTGTTGTGCAGTGTGGGTATGAAATGAACCACAGACAAGCTCTAAAACTGTTATAAAAAGCAACAAGGTGTCTTTGCTGATGGCACCAGTATCCCGTATGGGTGCTGGTTTGCTTGCCAGCTGTTCCACGTCTGATCCAGCTCCCTGATAATGGCCTGGTGCGACGGACCGGCTTGGCTGGAAGTAATCAGTACGACGGGAACAGGACCCCAGGAACGGTGGGCAAGGATTTGGCGAGTGACAAACAGACACGACAACTCAAGGAAGTTGTATCTGAGTGCATTTTGCAAAAGCAAGGCATCGGCTTATATACAATAGATTATTGCAAAGGGACATTTTCTTTGTTTATACATATGATTACATTTCTACAAACAATTATTCCAGGAAGGTAAGCAGGTGTGTTGAGCAAAGATTGTTCTCTAATAGCCTGGTGACAGCCTGTAGTTGCTATTTCTTGTGGACACAGTTTGGCACCAGTTGTAGTTTTAATCATTAAGTAGTTAGCCCTCATTGTGTTTTGTGCCTTACATTGGTTTTAATATTAACTTGTCTATATTTCTAGTTTTTCTTCCTGTATGGCTGTAGATTTCTACTATAATCTTTTTAGGAATTCTCAAAAATAGTCCTAAGTAGGTTTATTAAAGCTAGTAACTTGATAGTTTTTATCTCAGACTGCTTGCTATCTTTGTCCAATCTCCCGTCAGAAGGCTTCATAGAACTATAAAGGAACATTGAGCCTTTGCCGCACATAAATAGTATTATTCCAGTCATAAAGATAAGAGCAAAGAGAGTACAGCTAGGAACGCCAAGACCACTAGAGATGCAGCCGAATCCAGGAGGCATCCTTCCTTGAAGCTTCCACCTCGGCCCAGTGATTTCTCATGCAGGCTCCACTGGAGGTGGCATGACAGCCTGGGAAGGCAGCAGAGGATGGCCCAAGTGGTTGGGCCCCTGCATCCATATGGGAGACCTGGAAAAAGCTCCTGGCTCCCAGATTTAGGCTAGCCAGCTCTGGCTTTTGGCAACATTTGGGAAGTGAAGCAGTAGATGAAAGATTGCTCTGGCTTTGCCCCTCTCTCTCTCTGCAACTCTA